GGCTGCCAACATCCTGCTTCTAGAAAATACTGTAGGTCCCGGGAAGCCACCTGCTACAGAGGCAAACAAAGCCCCCTCAAGTCCCTACCTATCCCCCCTTAATGCCTTCCCATCCCCTTCCACTCCTAACCCCCCCAAATCCCCAACCCCAAAGTCCCTACCCATCCCCCATAATCCCTTCCCATCCCCCCCTTCCAGTGCCAACCCATCACCCCTGAATCCCTACCCATCCCCCCTTCCAGTGCCAACCCCCCCCCAATCCCTACCCATCCCCCCAGATCCCTACAAAGGCCCCCAGGGTCAAATCCCCTCCTGGCCCCAAACCCGGGTCAGCCCGGCCCCCGGGGCAGGGCGGTTGGTCCGGGCACAGACCAGGGGAAGCCCCCGGCGGTGCTCAGCCCTACCCCCCACACCGCGGCGTGGGGCGGGGGCCCAGCAGCTCCTCACAGGCGGGAGCGCTGCCAGGGACCAGCCCCGGGCTCCCAGGCGGAGGGGTCTCAAGGCATGGCTGGGCCGGGCCGAGCCGGGCCGCAGCCGTTGGCGGTGGGGGGGTCGCTCCGCCCGTACCTGCAGCGTAGCCCCGCTCGCGCTGACACTGTTTGGGACCCTCGCTCGGGCACTGACACACCGCGCCCCGCCAGCCAATCGCGTGGCAGCGGAGGCGGCGCCTTGCCGGCTCTCACCCAATCGGAACCCCCACTCTGAGGCAAGGGGCGGGGCTCCACTGACATCACGGGTGATTGCCACCCCTCTCCCCCTCTCTCCAGGGTCGGTTGAGCGAGCAAAGCTTAGCCAAGCAGGGTGGGTGACAGGGAGGAGGGCGCTTTGTTTACATCCGGGTCTCGCGAGAGCCGGCGCGAGAGCCGGGCGCACGTGGACGGGCGCCTGCCAATCCCTAACCCGCGGCCAATCGTGGGGGAAGGAATCCCCTAAGCCCCGCCTACTTCCAGGCGGCCTGAGCGCTGTTTACCTTCCGGGAGGGGGCGTGGGCGTCGGTGCGTCATGACGCAGAACCCGGAAGTCAACGGGGCAGCAGGGTGTGGAACGTGGGCCGGACTTCGCTGAGGTGACTCACCCGGCGGGGGGAGCTGGGCACGCGGCCTTCAGGGCTCAGGTGAGTAGGCCTCAGGGGCCCCGAGCCCCTGCCTTGTCCAGGCAGCCTAGGGCTCAGGTTTCCACTGGACAACAGCTGGTCCCCTCCCCCGCAAAAAAGGCTTTATTACTTAAGGGCCTAACCAGGAGATAAGCATTTTAATATAACTTAAAGCATTATAATAAAGTATTTGGTATCATTTAAAACATTATAATAAAGTGTTGTGTTTAGGCTTACTTTACTATAATGCTTCCAGGGATCCTAAACACTTTATTGTAATGCTTGAAGTGTTTAGGATCACTTAACACATTATTATAAAAGTGTCTAGTTTAGGATCCCTGAAAGCATTATACTAAAGTGTGTATTGTCCTGTCTAGTCTTCTACTAAATACCTGCAGAGGATAAAATTAATTATTATATCAAAATGGAGTAGAGCAGGGATTCTCTAACTGTGGGTTGTAACCCCCTGGGGTGTTGCAAGCAACTTATAAGAGGTCTGCAAACTTCCCAGGGGGATAGTGGCAGCTGCCGTGTGCAAACTCCCCATCCCCACTGCCACCATTCAGCACTCAGCATTACAGTATCCCAGAGTTTGAGAACCCCTGGAGTAGAAAGTGACTGCTCTGGAGGTTAGTATTTATCAGCTTTCAAAATGGAAATCAAGGAGTGGGTGAGGCCCCACATACACGAATGAAATTGTGCTTGTGGGACATAGGTCCATAGTTTGCTTGTATGCGTTACAGCTATACACACACATCGCCCTCAACAATTCACAGTGTATACAAAGCCATCTTATTTAATCTCTGCTGCATTTACATATGGCAAGTGAGATATTTAGCTCAGTGTATTGAAAAGATCGTTCCTTTCCTTGTTCCATCTCCCCAGTCTTACCAAGGTGAAGCTGTTTGAATTCCGTGGCAATCAAGTACATACTAAGTGCCTTGAAATATATGAATAAAAAAGACAGCCGTTCATTTAATCAAAATGATTAATAGGCAGGAGTCTCAATTGAAAGTGGCAGTTATTAGTTCAGACTTACAAATATTATAGATCAGTTGATCAGACAGAACTTCAGTGTCTGTACATATTTTCAAAAACTGTTTTCATGTGCAAGTTTTTATACAATAAGAGCCCTGATCCCTAGTAAAAAGAAGCCAAATATTTGCAGTTCTCGGTTATTGTCCTCTACCAGTAGAAATACATTTCTTGTAGGGACTAGCTTACAACTGCAGTATTTTAATCTATAAGATCTTGTTGCATTCATTTGACTAAAAAATTGTGTATTTTCAGAAAGCCTTTCATTCCTGTTATAATTTCTGTAACCATAGCAACGTGTAGATAGTGGAGATAATTTTAGCCCAGGGTTTTGTTGTTCCAGTAGTTAGTGAACGTGAGTCCAAAAATAGCTTCCCTAGCCACTGGCAGTTTCAAAATACTGGTTTCTCCTGCATATTTAAAAGCAGGTCACACATGGGAGCCTGACTGCACTTAGGTTCACATAATACAAATACATCCAGTATAAAATATCAAACTGTATACTATCTGTAGCAAAAACAGCTAGTGGTATTCTGTTTCATACTCCATGTATTAAAATAAAGGAGGCACACAATGGCCAAACAAACCACATGCAAACTGAAGTGGTCAACTCAGAAGAAATATTTAGAAGAGAAAAACCTGGTGAAGATAGGAAAATTTAGTAAAAGTGTGCCAACCAGAAGGAAAAGGCTTAAAACGCAGTTATTGCTAGTCTTGGTTAGGTACCTTCAGGGAAACAATGCAACCTTTACCCAGAATCCTATTTCCAGCCCATTGGGACCCTAATAAAAAAACAGTCCATCTATGTAACACTGTTGGGACAAAAAATTAATAATCATCACATGGCTTCTTTTTCAGAACAGTTAGAGGGAAGTCCAGTCCCTTCTACTAGTATGCATTGTTTGGATAGAAAAGGTTGGTTAACTGGATTTATGCTTAACTCATTGCTCATGTTAAAATATTTTACTGTTAGTAATGCTGTCTGTTGCAATGGCATCTTACTGAATGAAGAAACAGCAAAGCTATAGCAATTTCCCACTGCAGTCCAACATCCAGGTTATGAAACTCTTGACTTTGAGCTCTTGTTAAATTGGCCCAATTCCCATATTTGAGGGCTCGCTTCCTGCTGGAAGCATGGCTGGAACAGATCCAGCCCTAGCGCAAGTAGTAAATGCTCACAGAAAGAACTGAGCATCTAGGCACTTAAGTTCTTATTTTTCACCTCAGTTTGAGTATATGCAAGGTACTTTACCTCTTTGTAGTCCAGCTCACCTGTTTGTTAAAAGGCTGTAATACTCACCTCATGGGGTGTCACAAGAATTCATGTTTCAGAAATATGTTCAGCCCCTCTTGTCATTGGGAACAGTAGTATTACATTCATTATGTTTAATTAAATACTTTGGTTAGTTGGTCAACACTTGTTCTCAAAATAATTATCTTCATGTTGTAAAGCAAATAAAAAAGAACTATTGTAACCAACCACCAGACTCAAGCTCTGTTCACTGGTTATAACATATGTGCCTATTTTGAATAAAATGGAATGGGTTACTAAAGTCTTGGTATTTTCTCATAGTGCTGCAAGCCCCCCGGGGGGGTGGAAAAGAGTAAGATGCACCACCTTGCTGGAAGTAGCTGAGCTACCTTCAGATCAAAATGGAATGGTGCTCTGATGTCATCATTGTTGGCCACAAGGATGTAATTTAAAAAAATCCATTCACAATACTGAAGGCTCATTTTGCCAGGGATCAGACTTGATTCAGTGAAGTAAGGTGTTTCTAAAGCAACCTGGATGATGTCTGCCTTGTCTTAGCAGTTAAACTGGGAGTGGTTCTGAAAGGTAGAGCTGTTCAGTAACACCAGAACTGCACCAGCTCCTCCCTCTGGTGGACACAAGCATGAAAGAACTTCCTATTCCTCCTGCCTTCTGGTTTTTCTCTGCCAATTGAGTTCATATAGCACCCAGCCTGGAAGAACATCAAACTTGCACAAAAAATGGTAGATGCTTGCAGAGGCATCAAGTCCCAAAAGGTAGGCAGAATATTTTTAATTGTAGAATTAGTGGCAGTCTCTCTAGCTAGTGATGGGGAGAGATTAGAATATTAAGGAACAAGTCACAGGTGGGAAGGAGAACTAGTATTGAAACAAAGGCTGTCAACTGTCAGGACTAGTTTTATATTTGCATCATTACTCATGGATAAGCATTTAAAAACTTGAGCTCTGAATTTCAAGACACTGCACATTTCAAGAAAAAGGCACCCCCAGCAAGTTTTCACTTGTTTTATTTAGGTGAACATACATATGGTCTACATATGCCATAAAACCTGTAAGTCATAAAATAATTTAAGAATTTAGGTTGGAATAATATTAGCAGCACCACTAGTTACTGAAATGGCAGAAATGTCATGCCTTTGAGGCACACATTTGAAAGGGATATACTGTCTGTGTGAAGATGCCATCAGTCCTTCCAGTAGAATGGAAATGCTTTTTTGTAGGACAGTTTGGGGGCTTAGGTTCCTTGGAAAATGTAAGACACACTTTTTTGCTAAATACTTTTGACGATTAAGGTTACAAAAGATACAACTGAATAAGATACTGCATAGTATTTTAATTAAGATAAAGAAATTGACATTGAGCTGTGTAAAGCAAGACTCAACATCTCTGCTTCCACATTTCATTTCTGAGTAGAGAAATCTAAACTTTAAAAACAAAAAATAGACCTAGTGTATTCTCTAAAAGACACACTTTGGGTGGAACGTATAGTACTACGAAAATACATCTCTTCCATTTTGTTTAATAATTTACTTTAGTTAAAAAGTTGTGAAATCCTCATCACAAGAAGCTTATACAAATTCATGACTTCAGTAAATTAACGAAAAAGATTAGATTTTTTTAAAACAAGGTTTAGCCCTGTTGTAAAAATTATACAAAGGAAAAAAAGACTACATTTGTATGAAGGAATACAAATTTACACACATTTTACAGTGACTTGATACCCTACACATCTACAAAATTCACAGTTATAATACAAGCAAGTACAAGGCTGGGATAAAGCTGTTTGATACCAAAAAAAAGTTTCCTACTTCAAAAAACAAAAAAAAAGATAAACAGGAAGAGTTTCAAACTTTGCACCAACTTCTAAATTCTAATCAGACCAAAATATGCTCCATTACATACATACCCTTCAGCAAACGCATACAGCTTTTCTCGGCTGGTGGAACAGTGAGTTGCCAAGCTTCTTCTGGCCCCGTAAGCTTCGCCGCATGGTGAGCTTGTTTGAGTTTTTGCGCTGGGGAGTTGTGGACAGGCCTTCTGGTTGGACAGCAATGCTGCGACTCAGGGTACGCCTTGGCTTCTTCACAGCTGGGCCAGAATTGGATTCTTCTAATGTCCTTTTAAAGTTTGCTGGGGGTGTCTTCTCTGATTCTTGGGCTTTTGTCTGACTGTTAGGAGACACCTTGAAGCTTTTTTGGTCCGTGCTTGAGTTTGCTGAATTGGAAGGTGAGAGGGTAACCGACAAGCCATTGCTG